CTTTAGCACCTCCTCGATCCCGTATAGAGCCGTCAGCCTGGAGACAAGGTACCCATCCCAGCCAATCAGAGCATGTGTTTAAGTTATTTATCTACTTACTTAGTTGTCAGACTCATGTTGAAAAGGGATTTACTCTTATAACCACTAGCCAGCTGAATTAGGTGAATTTGAATAATACAAAAATGGATCTGGAGTCTGGATCTGCATTTTTGGATTGCGTTTTTTTTTGTTGCTGCTATTGATTTAATGTTAATTAATTAATTGAATATTGATTTAACCTCCTTGATCCGGTACAGAGCCGTCAGCCTGGAGACAAGGACACAGACCCCCTGAGGTTTTTTTTTGTTGCTGCTATTGATTTAAAGGAGACATATTATACCCTATTTCAACAAGTTAAGCGAGTTCCCTGGTGTCCTAATGTAATGTCTGTGACAAGCTTTGGTCAAAATCCCATAAGGATGAAGCCCAATAGCAGTTCAGTCCCCCTGCCTAACCCTAACCCTAACCCTAACCCTAACCCAAAACAGCCCCGTTCAGAGCGCTCGCTTTGGAGTGCCTGTCTCTTTAAATGCAAATGAGACACAGGGAATCCACCCACTTCTTCTGGGAGGTGTGCCCACGTCGGCACGCTAACGCTACCATGCTAACGCTACCATACTAACGCTACCACGCTAACGCTACCACGCTAACGTTCACACTACCATGACGTCTGCCACAGATAGGCGGAGTAAGCTGAGGGGGGGGGCAACATGCAGGTGAAAGGCTGGAATATTATAATGAGCTAGAGCTAATGACGTCAGAAACTACCCACTCCTGAAACCTCCTGATTTATCTCCTGGATTCAGACTGAGGCGGCCCACAAAAACATGACTGGGTCATTTTTTTTCACACTTTGCCAAACCACCAAAGCTTACCACACTGGACAATATTAGTAGTTTTTAAGGGAACTATTCGAAACATTTCTATCAAAACTACACATTCCAGATTATAATAGCATCTTTTATTCACCCATTTAGAAAGATGTTGTCCTCTAAACTGTTTTCATATTTTGGTTCTTTTGTTTGTCAGCAGGTTTAGATCCTGAAACCTAAAAGGAAATTAA